ACTATCTGGCTCCCGTTAGAAGGGCCCAGACAAAAAGGCCCCTGACTATCTGGCTCTCGTTAGAAGGGCCCAGACAAAAAGGCCCCTGACTATCTGGCTCCCGTTAGAAGGGCCCAGACAAAAAGGCCCCTAACTATCTGGCTCCCGTTAGAAGGGCCCAGACAAAAAGGCCCCTGACTATCTGCCTCCAGTTAGAAGGGCCCAGACAAAAAGGCCCCTGACTATCTGGCTCCCGTTAGGAGGGCCCAGACAAAAAGGCCCCTGACTATCTGGCTCCCGTTAGAAGGGCCCAGACAAAAAGGCCCCTGACTATCTGGCTCCCGTTAGAAGGGCCCAGACAAAAAGGCCCCTGACTATCTGGCTCCCGTTAGAAGGGCCCAGACAAAAAGGCCGCTGACTATCTGGCTCCCGTTAGAAGGGCCCAGACAATAAAAGCCAGAAAAATGGGCACCGGTCAACAAGGACCCCAAAATAAGGCCATCAATTAGTCTCCCAAATAAAAGGGCCCCGTCAATAAGTTAGCCTCCGCAAAAGGGCGCCGACTAAAGGGCCCCTGTCAATCGCTCTGGGTTCAACTGTGGCATTTGATGTACTAAATGTTGCATGATTTGTTTCTGAATCAAATATTACATGTCTTATTAATTGTGTCTACAATATTCTACTGCGATAGCCAAACTATTGCGTTAACAAGATTTCAAAAACTTGTATTATATTTTTAAAATCTAAGTTTTCCACTAGATAAAGTTCTGGAGAACATGTCATTGATAAATTTTTTTAGAGCTCTGCTGTAATATGTATGAGTTTAAATTGACGATTATGATGCCATATATTCACCAGGGATTTGGAACAGATATTTTTTTCTTTTTTTGGCAGACCTCTGCTCTGGACAAATTTTGGCAGCTATGCCACCAGTTCTGGCAAATTTATAAACGGGGTAGTTAAAGGCGTACAACGTGTTTGAAGAAATGTCGTTATTATTGTCTTATTGACTAGGTAATAAAAATGCGAGAACGGTACCAGCAACATAGCTAGTGTAAGATTTGGGACAGCAGAGATGGAATCATTATTGAAATGTATATTTTAAGAAATCTGAATAACTACTAAATGATAACTGGCAATAAAGTTTGAAACAGGAAAAAAACAAAAATTTAAAATATCTAAAATCATGCCAATAATAGATGTTGATTAAATCACTATAGATGCCTTCTACAATTTAAAAGCAATATAAAATAGTTGGAAAAAAATAATAATAATAATTAAAAGGCTGATGCTTCATCAGAAGGAAGTGTTAGTGAAAAGCCATTTATAAATTTTAAAAATTGAAACAAATAAACAAAATGTAATGTTACATTCCTCTTTAAACTTGGGACAACTGACCTATTGCGGTCAGTGATCAACGGGACATCATGCTGGTTAGAAACTACAAGAATAAATTCATGCCTGTTTCTATGTAGAGAAAAATTAAAGAGTCTCGAATGCAGCAGACTGTAAATGATAATACTCACACAGCAAACGATGACTGTAACATCAACAGAATATATGTTTTTTTTAAAAAAAACAGATTTATAAACATATTTTAAAACTATGTACATGATGTGAAGACAACTTTTGGTTCTTTCTCCTTGGTATAATATTGTCACTTAAGGGATAAGTCATGTGAATGTTTATAAAGAATGAAATTTTAAAAAAAAACATTATGTACAAAAACAGATAAACGAAGAAGATGCACTGTAATAAGTTATTATAAATTATAAGAACACATCTACCATGTTTATCACTAATTTTAGGAAACCCTTATAGATAAGGTTGGTGTAAAAGTCACTTAAAAATATGTCAGGTCTATTTAAAATTGGATTATTGATAAACTAATCTTTAATTGGATAGAAATGTAATGTACAAGTAGAATCGTTTTATGCTAAATTTATAAGAAATTGTTTTTAAAAGGCATTAAAATTCTGAAACATTCATTTAATTTCTGTCAGTTTGCACAAGTTTCCACAAACTGGTTCCTAGTCCCCTAAAGGCCACCAATGTTAATATTACATTACATGTATAGCAGGCTCTGATGAAAGAGAATGAAGGGGAGCTGTGGTGATGGGTGAGGTGGGGCTGAGTCAATTAGTTCATAACTTTTGTTAACCCTAAGAGAAGCGATCCAACCATGACAATTTGTGGGCTGTTTTTTTAAATATTATTTTTTTTAAAATAAATTGGATACCCGTATCAGGTTTAAAGAAAATAGGAATTTTATTTCAGTGTGTAAATGAAAGGGAAAAATTACAGTCTTAACAGATAGAAGGAACTTTTTTAAAAATACGGTATCAAATTTTACATTTAGATAAAGCTATAAGATTATGTCTTATTCAAAAATGTAACTGGATTGCCTCCCCTTCACAAGGTTTCACATAAGGCTGCAACTATTCGTACCCAGGTACAAGAGGTGAGAGGTTGGGATTAAAAAAAACTATTTAAAATTTTATTGTTGGGTTTGTAAGACAAAATGAGGTATCAAATGAAAGATAATTGAATGGACTATATGTTTGTAAACTTAATTCTTCAGTTTAACTAAAATAAACTACCTCAAATGACATCCCAAAGGCACTGAGTCATAATGGATTCAGACACGCAGCGCTGCCATTTGCACCAGGGTACCATTAGACCAATGCTATTCGGATGTCATTTGTGGAAGTTTATTTTAGTTAAACTGAAGAATTAAGTTTACAAACATATAGTCCATTCAATTATCTTTCATTTGATACCTCATTTTGTCTTACAAACCCAACAATAAAATTTTTAATAGTTTTTTAATCCCAACCTCTCACTTCTGGTACCCTGGTATGAATAGCCACTACGTTCACATAATACACAATACTTCATCAAATAAATTGAACTGCAC